TGGGATTGTGAGGTCTCCTCAATCTGGATGTCTAAATCTCTTGGTAGACTTGGGAGGATTTCATCTCTTATTTAGTTAAATAAGCTTTTGAACTTTTTTATTCACTTTTTACCTTTAGGGATACCAATAATTCATGTATTTGGTCACTTTATGGTGTCATATATATTACAGAGACTTTGTTTATTTTTTTTAATTATTTTTCTTTATTTTTGTCTAAGTTATATCAAAAGACCTGTATTCAGGTTCTGAGATCCTTTTTTGTTGTTGTTTTAATTTATTGTTTAAATTCTTGATTATACTTTTTATTTAATTAAAGAATTTCTTCAACTCCAGATTTTGTTTGGTTCTTTAGTATAATATGTGTCTCTTTGATACATTTCTCATTCATATCTTGAATTTTTTTCTGATATTTTGTATTGTTTTTGAAATTCTCTTGTATATCACTGTGTTTCTTTAGTGTCATAATTTTGATTTTCCCCCTGTGATTTCACACATTTCTTTTTGATTGGGATATGTTACTGGGGAATTATTGTGTTCCTTTGTAAGTGTCATATTTCCCTATTTTTTCATGTTTCCGTACATTGATAACTGTGTATCTGGTGTAAGAGAAATGTATTCCAATTTTTTGAATTTGCATTCACAGTGGAGGATTTTTTCCTGAAGATGTATCCATAGTGTTGGTTAGTAGGGCCCTTTGTCTTTGATTCTGAGTACATGCAGTTGTGCAATCCTTTTATAATCTCTTTGGCTGTAAACAGCTTCAGTATTACCTGTGATTTATCAGTGGTTTAGGGTGTGGTTAAAAGTGGAGGCTATGGGGAAGTTTGGCTGGTGACAGGGATTCCAGATGGGTTAGTCTTTGGTTCCCAGTGGTGGCAGCAGTGGAATGAGTATGCCTGTTCTTGTGCCCCCTACAAGACACTTGCTCTGGTGTTGGCAGAACCAGGCAGGCCAATTCTTGGGCCTCTAGGTATTCCGCTTAGCTCCTGGTAGTGACAGTGGTGGACGAGGCAGGTGAGTGATTTCTTGGTTCCCTGGGTAGGTGGCATGGTATGGGTAGTGGCAGTAGCAGTGGTGGGACAACCTTCTGGGACCTGAGCACTGCATGCTGATGTTAGAGACGGTTACAATGCAGTCTCCACCCACAGCCCCAGTCATGCAGCTCTCAGGCTTGCTTATTCTCAGTTGTAGCAGCACTGCAGTGCTATACATAAAGGTAAGGAACCCTGCCCTTTGCACATAAGCTTGATCATGGAAGTCCTTCCACCAGTGGGAGTGTGGTCACCATGCAGGGCCAGCAAGGAGCCATCAGGTTCACCTGCCCTAGCTTCTAGTGGCAGCAGCAGTGGCTGAGCCTGAAAAGGTATGCAGAGGGGGAGAGGGAGTTCCTATGCATGAGCCTAAACACAGAGACCACTCCACCAGTGGAGTGGGGTCACTGCCGTCAGCCCCAGGTATCTGGCTTCCATTTGGGTTCCCAGTGGCAGCAACTGCTGCTGCACTCTTGGGTGGGTGTCACAAATGGGATTTCACTCTCTGTTCACAAACCTGAACATAGACTGTGTGCTGCTACTGGGGCAGGATTTCTTCTCATAGCCCCAGACAGGAAGCTCTCAGGCTCTGAAAAGTGTGTGCTTTGGTTTTCTTTGACCCAGGAATTGCCATGTTAGTGTACTGCACCATCTCTTCTCTGGAAGTAGTACTACTTGTGGGCCGTAGTTCTGGGGCCCCATAGCACCTTTGTATCCAGCAGTACTGTGCTACTGTAGCCCCCTGGGTAGCCACTGAGGAATGTCAGTGGGGGCTCCTGGGATATAGAGATACAAAGGCAGTGTTTCTAATGGTGGGATGCAGCCCCATGATGGCTGTGCTCTCACGGTGATACCCTGCTGTAGTTGCTTAGGTCTCAGGGGTGTCAGTGAACCAGCACAAGTTCTCTGCCTGGTGCAATGCCCTTGTGGGATGTCTAGCTCACTGTTCATGTTAGTGCCAGGAAACAAGTGGGTAGAGGAGCTCTGCCATGGTTCAGATCACAGCAGTTCATGGTAGGAACATAGACCCACTGAAATTTTCACAATTTCCCCCAATAGCAAGTCCCTATGTGTTCCAAGACGATTTTGCTTCCCTTTTGTATTAGTTCATTCTCACACTGCTATAAAGGAGTACCTGAGACTGCGTTATTTATGAAGAAAAGAGGTTTAATATTCTCACAGTTCCACAGGCTTAACAGGAAGCATGACTGGGAGGTCTCAGGGAGCTTATAATCATGGCAGAAAGTGAAGGAGAAGCAAGCACATCTTCACATGTCAAAGCAGGAGAGTAAAAGGGGAAGTGCCACAAACTTTCAAACAAGATCTCATGAGAACTCACTTACTATCTCAAGAAGTGTAGAGGGGAAGTCTACCCCCATAATCCAGTCACCTCCCACTGGGCCCCTCCCCAACACCTGAGATGATAGTTTGAGTTGAGATTTGGGTAGGAACACAGAGCCAAACCACATCACATCTGTGCCTCAGGTGTTTCCTATAACTTCTCTGTTGGACTCCAGTGTTCCCTCCTAGTTATTCTATCTGAGGTGTGATTATTGATTCATAATTTTGATTCTTCTTTCTTGAGAGAGTGAGTATGCAGTGTTCTCTAGTGAGTCATCTTCAACTGGAATCCAAAGATTTACTAATTTTAAAGCTTGCTCTTTATTGTTCTGGCTAATATAAACTGTCTTGTGGAAATAAGCATGCCCTTTATAAGTACTTTGAACTCAAGCAAGAAACCATTTCAGTTGTCCTCCTTGCCTTTGTAGGGTTTTTGTTATGTATCTGAAAGACTATTGGAAACCTCCCTTTTGCTCTTTTCTTTTGACAGAATGCTTTATTAAAGGGTATTATCATAGAGGCATCAGCCACTCTAGGTGCACTGTTTTGTTTCTCCTTGGAGAATTAGCTCAGGGTTGAATAGATCTAGAGATATATGATCCCCAAATATTATTTTCTTTTATATTTCATTTACATTCTTTCCTTTCTATCTAGCTCTGTGTACAATATTCTTAATTACTGAATTCTGCCTACAGAAGTATGCAGAATAACATATGAGCAACAGCAGTTTTATATGTATTAGATAGAAATATAAGCAGTGCTCTTCAAGATTCTATGCAAGAACATAAAACATATAACTATTAAAATACAACACATAATAAATATCCAGCCTTCAATTTCACAGTTAGCTAAAAGGGTCAGAAAAAAGAGAAGAGATGGAAATAGAAACAGAGAAGAAGGAGGTAAATGTCAAATGAAGGAAATATGGGAGAGCTGAGAAAGAGAAACTAACAAGCAGAAATTCAATGTAGGAGGCAAAGCTTGAGTTGTCAAACAACAAAGAGAATATGTACACAAATAATACATGAAGATCAAAACATAGAAAGTCCAGTATACAACATGGAAAGGTAAACTTGTCAATAAAAATTTGGCCTTCAAGAATATTAAGATGAACGCTTTTAAAACCATTTTTTGAGTATAGCTATAACTAAAGTTAGTCTCTGGGCCAGGTGAAATCTTTGACCAGATTGGAGAATAAATATAGATGTTATTCATACTGACATGTTTTTCATGTATTGTCTATTTTGTTTCCTGTTACATTTTTGAATATTATATTCCTTTCAGTATTTATATTTCATCCTTGTAAAATACTAAATTATCCACCTTCTGATTAGCTATTCATTTATTATCTATATCTATGAGTAGTTTCCTTTAATTCTGTAGAGTATTTAAATATTGTTTTGAATTTTTTTCACATTTAACTTCAGTCTCTTAGAGAAACACAGTACTGTAATAAAGTTGTGTATATAAAGAGATGTCTTGGGCATGCCTTATAAACATGTTATTTTTACATACTTTATAAGTCTACAAATAGTATATGTTTATATTTTATAAATACATTTATAAATACTAATAATGCATTCTTAAAATTTATTTGTAATAATAGAGGTTTGTAATAAAAAAAATAACTGCCATAGTAGAAAGCTCATGGCTTTTGGAGCAATATATACATTCCTGGGTTCAAATTCCAGTAATGCTACTTATTTGCTTTATAGTCTTGGATGAAGCACTGAGATTTCATTACATTTATCTTTTTAATTTTATTTTCTTTTTACATGTATATCTAATGATACTCTGCATTTCTGTGAAGAGAATTTGGAGATACACACACACACACACACACACACACACACACACACAGGTTAGTGACAGCCATTGCTGTTATTTTGGTCTTCTCCATAATTTAGCATCTTATATTCTATTTATTTCTGTAGTTAATGTGTTTTTTTCTATTTTTCTGTAAAATGTTGCAGATTATATATTTTTGCAGACATTCCATTTTATGTAATCTGTGTGAAACAAACTATATTTTTACTAATCTTACAGAAGTAAGATTTTGCATTGCTTATTTAATAACGACTCTGTGAGAGGTCTTTTTTCATGAGGGAATATGGAGCTTAGCACAGCATACTATGAAGAAGCAGGATAGTCCTCAACACTGATTAATGCAATGGTTCTCAAATTGTTTTGACTGAGACACATAGAATAAAATATCTTTTGCCTTGCAATCAGCTAATATACACTCATATACTGAAACAAGGAATTGTACAATAAACTATGTTTTTTCTTCTCTTTTATTTAAAAACCTCCTCTCAATTGATTTCATGACTTGTTTAAGGGGCATGACCTGCAATTTGAAAAACACTGTTCTAAAGAACATAGAACAAAATAGCATTTAGTGTTGGTCATTATATGTAATGTAGAGATGATTTATAAAAGTTTTTTTGGCTGAACTAGTATTTCAATCTGGATATAAATGTTTTAATGTTATTTCAAAAACAATATCAAGTGAGTTTAAAATTGTTTTTTCAAAAGAAAATGTAATAATAAAATGGTTGATTTTTCTTACGGATTTTAAACATTTATTGATGCAACACAAACATGCATTTTTCTTTTCTCTTTTAACAGATTGGCTATTTGGTCTTCTTACGACTTTTTATATTTTTCCTGCATGGTCACCTAGAAAATTTTAAACAACATTTACTTAGGCTTCAACCATATTTATACGGTAGAATATCTTTTATTTTTTGCACTTATAAATGTTTTATGTTATATTTTGAGAGGCTTAGACTGTCACTATGAAGAACATAAGCTGCATTTTATTTTTCATGAAAGAGGTGCGGTGTTGAGGAGCACAGCTTCAGGGCCAGATTGCATTTGTTCAGCTTCCTGTCCCTCCAACCCCATACATTTTTATTTCTTTGTGTTGAGAACATTTAAAATCTAACACTACTTTTTTCCAGCAATGTTGAAAAATGCAATATTATTATAAACTGCAGTCATCATATCGTGAAACAGACCACTATACCTTATTTCTTCCGTCTAACTGAAGCTTTGCGCCTAATACCTACCACATCCCCAACCATTCCCGCAACCTACTCCCTGCTTTAGACGCTGGTAACCCTCATTCTGTATTCTACTTTTTACTTTGCCACTTAAGTGTATGAGCTTTTTTGTGACTCAGTTTCCTTATTCGTAATAGTGTCTAACTCCCTAGATTTCAGGAAGGTTAAATTCATGTTTTAGTAAGGTTCTGGACTTGGTGATCAACTGAATCTAAACTATATGTAAAGAAGAGTGAGGAATTCAAGTGGGAGCTGAAGTTTTGCATATCGAGTAATAAGATGAGACAATGATGCTCTGAATTAGGAAAAATTTGGAGAAATATTGGTGGTATTGAATTTGAAGGTCACTTAGATATGTATACCCAGCAAGCAGTTGAAAACATAGGTTTGGAACTAGGGAAATAAGTGAAGCCTGCTTGGAATATAGAATTGACAGTCATTCATGTTAATATGGCTGAGGGTGACAGGCAGGGAGAAACTAATTCCAGGAATGAAATCTTGGGGAACATGCACATTTAGTGGATTATTGGTGTAACAGAGCCCAGTAAAAGAGAAATAAGGGAGATAAGAGGGAGTGATTATGTTTAAGGAGAGAAACTCAAGATCAACATTGCCATAGAAATATTAAATAGTAGAAGGTCTGCCAAATGATGCTAAGTTTCTGCAATCAGAAAATAACTGCTGATCTTGGGAGCATACCCAGTGGAGAGGTGGAAGCAGAATTGAGATTGGAGGTAAACAACAGTAAAGGAAACTTTAAGCATGAGGCAAAGATTGTGACCTATTTAAAAAAAAGCTTAGCAGTAAATATTTATGCTGATATGTAAACATGTCAATAGTTAAAACAGAAAAATCAAAGTCAAAATATTAGTATATTGTAGGATAAGGAAAATAGGGATTCAAGATAAAGAAAGGGAATAATATTTGTTGAAAAAGTCATGGTGGATGGAACTGTGACCAAGGGAGAAACGTTTTGGGGACTTATCAGTTAGTACCATTAGCGTACGTCCTGATCAGATGTGGCTGTAGACAGACACAACAGGAATTCTTGTCTAACAGTTCACTTGTATTTATATCTTCGTTAAATTATACAACTTCTTAACTCCTCATGGTGTTTGGCATAGTGACTTATGAAATATTCAGATGATCACAACAAATAAACTTTGAAAGATTATTTGAGTAAAAACCTCAAGTTCTAATATTAGCTTGTTATTGAGGATATACGCCCCAATCTTTCTTTCATATGCAAGAATAAAATCCCCAGTTGTGCCCTCTTACCAACTATCGTAGAGGCTTAGGTACAGCTTTTCCTTTAACAATAGGCTGTTTTCTACTGAAGCTATCAGCAACTCGGTCTCTCCACATAGCTGTCCAGTAGAATGATCATTATTAATTTTTTTATTGTGTGGATGGACTAAACCCCAAAATTTGTCTAAAAGTTTATAGAAAGACCAGCACTGAGATGGTTCCATTAAATATAACATGGTGTTATGTTAAATTACATTGTTGTGGCCTATATTTAAAATATTTATTTTCAAAACTAAATAATAACATCTCGAGAAGGAATAGAACTGGAGAATGTTGGTCTAGAATCAATGACATTGATTTGTTTGTAGATTTACAATGTCAAAGTATCCATTATGAATACAGCATCTATTATAACTTGATTTATTTTCATCTGGAAGCTTCCAAGCATTGTCGAACAGTAACTATATTTAACTGGGCATTCAATGATTATGAAATTGCTGTTCTGAATTATATAAACTCTTGTATATAAATTATTTACCATCTAGTTTTCTATTACACCACCAGGGGGCATACATAACATTATAAATCTTAAATAGAAAACTGAACAGCAGTTTCTGCATCTAAATACTGAATTTAATTATAGTTTAATAGCTAAAAGACAAACGAAACACAATGCAAAATATTAATGAAATATTTCTCCTAAATAATTTTTCTTACAATAGCACTTACTTTCTCTGGAGAATCATATTACAAGTATCCAAACATCTTTTCAAATGTGCAATTCATCCTGAAAGCCTCGGAAATTATAGGTAAAAGAGAACTCCGCTCTGAATCAATTTTTAGCCCTGTGGAAAATGAAAAAAGATATGAGAACACAGATTCTGATATGGTGGGTAATCCGGTATGGTGGGTATATCCTGTTGCATGATACATCAGATATGATTACTATGATTAAATAATGGTGCTTATCAATACAATAGGCATTGAGGAATGATGAGTTTAGCTGTGGGAGAGGGGTGAACAGCAAAGACATGAATTTCATGCAACCATATGCACGTTTCCTGGACAGTAGTTAATAGGGTGAGTAGTGAGGTATCACTGTGTACCACTAGTACTTTAAATAGAGTAATGCCATAATACCTTCTTCTTCATTAGCTCCATCTCACCTACTTAATTAAAAATTGCAACATAATTGAGACTGACTTGTAAATTAACATTTTAAGGTATTATATTTTTATTAAAGGGAAAGTGTGTAAAGGGCAAATTTTTTACAAAGCAAGTATATTACTTTGATGTTTTCATAATTCATATGAAATAACATTTAGTGGCTGGGTGCGATGGCTCACGCCTATAGTCCCAGCACTTTGGGAGGCCTAGGCAGGCAGATCCCCTGAGGTCAAGAGTTCGAGACCAGCCTGACCAACATGGAGAAACCCCATCTCTACTAAAAATACAAAATCAGCAGGACGTGGTGGCACATGTCTGTAATCCTAGCTACTTGGGAGACTGAGGCAGGAGAATCACTTGAACTGGGAGGCAGAGGTTGCAGTGTGTTGAGATGGCACCATTGCACTCCAGCCTGGGCAACAAAAGCAAAACTCTGCCTCAAAAGAGAAAGAAAGAAAGAAGATTTAATATGCTATTAAAATCAACTAAAAATTTTAAAAAATAGTTTAAATTATGAAATAATAATCTTTAGATTATGATAAATCTCTTAATTTCTAACTTAGATATTAGTAACCTTTAAAAAATTGTTCTAATTATATAATTTGTTTGTATATAATAAACTAATTATGTAAACCCAAGTACAGTGAGCCATATGATTGTGCATATACCTTATAGATTAATACACTTCAAAAGACAACTTTTAATTTCTGGGGACAATAATGCCTTTCTTTCCTCACATATTTTTTAAAAAAGAACAGTAAGCATTTCAAAACCTTCTTTTATTTTTTTGTTAAACATATTTATTATTTGGTAGTTTATAAATGGAAAATTTGTTTTTCTAACAATTTCTAAAAAAGGAAAAATACATTTAACATAATGCAAGTTGAAACACCTAAGGAAATTAAAAGAAGATTCCCTTTTTAAATATTATCTGTAACCTTATAATTTTCCCATGCTTCCTGTGAGCCCTTTCTAAAATCAGCTATAAATTAAATATATAAGAAAAAAACATTCAAACACATGTATCTGTAGTCTTTCCAGGCCTAAGAGTTTTCTTTCTGGCATATTACCAGTTCACCATTTATATAACAAGTGACATTTACCAAGTAAATTGAGCCTTCTGGTTATAATTACTAATGAGCACAAATGCCTCATGTGAGAAAGGGATCTGTTTTTAAGTTTAAAAAATGTTTTAAAAGTAAATATATGGTGTAAGATACCGAGCAACAGAAAGAGCACTGGTCATGAAGAGAACAGACCTGCTTATGAAGTGGTTCTGTGATCTAGGAAAGGTCCATCAATCTTGCCAAACTTCCACTTACATATCTTTAAGAAGTCATCATTATTGTCCTATTCATCATCACCATCATGAATCTACCATAACCCTTCTACAGGGTTGTTATAAAGATTGCAAAAAAAGCGTGTGTTTATAAAATTGTTAGATGCCATGCAAACATGAATAAAAATTATTGAAGAATGTATTTAGGACCTCACTTCACCCTTGACAGTGAACTATAATATTTTCATCTAGGGATGCTAGGTATGTTGACATAATGTAGTGATTGGAATGTTTTTCCTTTAAGCAAATAAGAGTCCATGAAATCGTAGCAACGTGAATGCTCTGGTTATGAGGTAGGCAATTGTCAGTGTTGATTCTGATGCTTTTTAAGAATGAATCCATTTTGTCACTCTTGGTGCACACACATAGCAAGCAAATGGAAGCTTACTGCTGTACAGCTCAGCCTGAATTTGAAGGGGCAAAAATGTCAATACATTAAAGGAACATATCAGCTTAGAGTGGGACAAGTCACTAAATCTCTCTGTGCCTTTCTCCACTTTGTAGAACAAAGCTTAGATTCAATCTCTTCTAAATTCTATTTCAGCTCTATCCATGTGATCCTGTAAGGGGATTATAACAGAGTTTTGCCCATCAGGTTTATTGCCCTTCTTTTTCTCCTCCTCTTATCTCACAATATAAAGACTATAAATATAGGATGGCATAGCCACAGTGCTGCTTAAATTGCTGATTTGGCTAATCAGCACTCAGTCAGCACTTGACAGCACGTCTTAAAGTTCCCCAGTTTCAGCCCAATTTCTCCAGTACAGCTAGCCTTTCCAGTTCAGTTGAGTATTTACTCATTCAATACCCATATCTGTCACCTGGGAAAGGAAAGAGGGAAAAAGATGTGAAAATGATAGAAATGGCAGTATAAAAGACAGTTGCATCAATCTCTCCTCCTTTCCTCATGATTATTTTAGTATATTATAGCAGAGGATTTGTGAATTTATTCTTATAGCACTTATCATTTGATAATGCTAAAAGTTTCATAGCACCATGCTTTGGCGGCTGTAAAGTATTTGATTTTTAATATTCTTATATGCATTGAAATAGAAGCATAATTACTTAATTTGTTGTCAAAGTGCTACCAAAATTACACTGAAAGTTTTATAGGATATTATGATACATTAGGATACATACCATATGAGCATAGGTTCCAGTTAAGAATAGGAAATTTCCTTTCCTCTGCTGTTGGACCCCACTTCTCTTTTTAATGCCTTTTTAAGTGATCCAGACACAGGGTTTCCATTGACTTTGACAAATGGTACACTTAATTAGCTCTTTTGGGGCGGGCATGGTGGCTCACGCCTATAATCTCAGCACTTTGGGAGGCCGAGGCAGGTGGATCACGAGGTCAAGAGATCGAGACCATCCTGGTCAACAAGGTGAAACCCCGTCTCTACTAAAAATACAAAAATTAGCTGGGCATGGTGGTGCTACTCGGGAGGCTGAGGCAGAATTGCTTGAACCCAGGAGACGGAGACTGCAGTGAGCCGAGATCGTGCCATTGCACTCCAGTCTGGGTAACAACAGCGAAACTCTGTCTCAAAAAAAAAAAAAAAAAAAAAAAAAAAAAAAAAAAAAAAAAAATTAGCTCTTTTAGCAAAGCCAGAATGCTGAACTGAGTTTTCCATTCTGTCCTTTGCTCACAAGCAAAGCTGAATTTTCTAAGCACAGTTGCCACATAGTAGTAATAACGGTTCTTTGGAGCAGGTAGACTTAAACCCAGCTTCAATGCAGTAGGCCTTTTCTTAAATGGTTTCATCTGTTCTAAAGTACAAACAGTTCTCTGAAAACTAGCAAACAGAGTTTACATTCTAGTATGATTAGCAATCTCATCCTCTAACACTTTAAGTGTTAGAGGCATTACCTAAATTTGGGACATTTTGTGGTATCCTGTAATTAGGAATTATTAGACTGAGACATAAATTCCTTAAAATTAGGAGCATTATTCTATGATTCACGTCATATTATCCAGGTAACACTGTGTACTGAGAGATCCTTTCATGGCAATGTCAACCATCCCCAGAATGACTGAAAACTAAAACTACATGAAACCCAGAAAGCTGTCCTTGAGCAGCCAAAATAGAGCCCATGCTTCAAAGCTCATTTCTGTTATAAAAGAGAGCCTAGTCAGACACTCAGAATTTATGTACTTAAATTTGCATAAAATTTGAGCTGGTGGTGTTATCTGAATTTTCAGCCAGCAGTAGATTAACAACACTTTTGTAGGTGGGCTTCTTAAAGTAGGCATCATTCCAGCTACAACTGACAGCCCAAAGCTGAACAGCAAGAGGGAGATGAAAGAACTGTGGAAAGTGGTTATAAAAGCCAAAGAAGAAAGGAAGGGAGGGGGGTAAGGAGGGAGAAAACAAAGAGAGGGAGGGAGGGAGAGAAAGAAGAAAAAGAGGGAGGGGAGAAAAGTTCTCTGGGAGTCATTTAAGGCAGTGCTCAGTGCTTTTCAAACTGTGGTGAAAGATCTCTCCTAACTTATGTTTAAATTTCCAAACCATCACAGATAATTTTGTAAAATATAGTAACAATAACGAATTACTGGAAACTAAAATAGAAAAGACATAAAAACACAAGCTTTCGTTTATAATGGACTGAATGTATGTAATTATTTTGTCAAATTGTTATGAAAGCTTCTAAATATATATTTTTCATTTTTGGGCTCTCATTAACAGTTTGCAAATGGCAGTTATCTGCCAACCACACCTTGAGCAGGACTGACTTAATGTAAAGGCACAGAACTCCAAGAGAAAGCAACATTGCTCATTCTTGGTCTTCTGCACTAATGATATACGTGATGATTGTATTAAATCACATAATCATCATTATATTAATTCATCCAAATTTAATAAATTTATTTTTTCTTTGGAAAATGTTTCTTGCTAAAAAGTATGCCATGTATGGTAGTTCATGCCTATAACCCCAGCACTTTGGGAGGCCAAGGCAGGTGGATCACCTGAGGTCAGGTGTTTGAGACCAGCCTGAACAAAATGGTGAAACTCAGTCTCTACTAAAAATACAAAAGTTATCTGGGTATGGTGGCGGGCACCTGTAATCTCAGCTACTTGGGAGGCTGAGACAGAAGAATTGCTTGAACCCGAGAGGTGGAGGCTGCAGTGAGCCGAGATCATGCCACTGCACTCCAACCTGGGAACAGAATCTCATAAAAAAAAAAAAAAAAGAATGCTTGAAATTCATAAAGTTCCTGAGACTAAATAATAAGCCCTACCTATCTGAAAGGGTTTATTATTTGGGGGGGAGGGGTGGGGAGAGAGAGAGAGGAGAGAGAGAGAGAGAGAGAGAGAGAGAGAGAGAGAGAGACAGAGAGAGACAGAGAGGGGGGAGAGAGAGAGAGAGAGAGAAATATATACCACAAGGAACTATGGGATGTCTTCATAAGATTGTGTTAGAAGCAATCTGCTATAGGATTTGGACTTTATTTGGATGATCTTGGGAAGAGTCTAAGGAAGCAAGAATTCTCTCTAAAGGTTTGATTCTGTCAAAAAGTGGGGCAATTCTGTGATTAGGTATTTTGTGAGTGGCCAAGTGACTTTGTTTATATTTGTGCTTAGAAAAAAATTGTCAAGTGGCTTTGTTTATTTATTATGGTCTCAGAGTAATATTGTTTGAAATTGCTGTTTTGTGAGTTTATGTGCAACAGGAGATCAAAATAACCTGGCTGCGAGTATCAGACCCGCTTGTAATAGTATTTCAAATCAGTCCCAGATGTGAGTGGATGCTTTTTAATTTCTCCACAATGTATAAAATTGACATAATGTAAAATTAAAGATAAAACTTAAATCTTGTTCATTGTCTAAATCCTGATTTTTTTCTTACGAAATGCTTTTGAAATTTTCTCTGATGATGGTACATAAATATGTTAATGCCATAATGGTTGACTTAATTGAATTGTTCATATAGTCCTGAAATATCTATGATTAAAATAATATTTATTGTAAATTAACCAGTCAAGTCATTCCAAGGTTTTAAAACATATTTATTTACCTATTTATTTAAAATAAGTTTCCAATCTGAGGACTGTTAGGCATCCAGGCTGAGACAACTAGAGCAATTTGAGAAAAGAATTATTTATATGGGTTTGAGTTTTGAGATAGACTCTCTACCACAAAGCAGAAAATTGAGTTATATGTGGATTTATTGAAGTCAGTATGTCTCAGACTGATGCTTTACATAGTTTTAGAATAGAGCTTTTCTATGGTGTATTCTAACACTCTAAACACCGAATTGTTTTCATTTGCTCTTCTGAATTATTGTTCCCCAGAGTCAGTAGCCTTGTGCAGACATTGTCTTCCTCAAGCCTTTATCTCCAGAATCTAACAGCGTTCCTGGGATAAAGTAGATAAACATACATCTCTAAGACGTAACTAAACATTATATTAGAAACTTAAAGTATCTTAGCTTAAAATTTATGTATGAACTTCTAGTCTTCTATCTGAAGACTACTCAACATAAAAATTTAATAAATATGAATGATGAAGCCCTTTAGATTCTGTTTCATTTTAACATAAAATCACAAAGTATCAACTAAATTAACAATTCAAGTACTTATTACAGAATGTGTATTTGAAACTTCACTGCTGGCAAAAATTCAGAGAATGCTATGTCATCATTTTCTACCAATTACTTTAGTAGACCAATTAAACATATAAAAGTGTTGGGAAGCACTCTAAGAAAAAAACTAAACAACAGCTTATTTGTTATCTGAATTTTTAGGCTATAAGACATTGATGATGTCTTGCTAGGCGTATATTTTGGTCCTTAAAGTAGAAATTCACATTTTAAAACATACTTTGCTGTTAGAGTTTTGTTCAAACTTTCCCAATTCCTTCTTTCTCAAGTGTCAGGGAGAACTAAGTCACATGGAATCTATGAACCACAATTGTGTCAAATAGCTATCCCTTATGGGATGCAGAATTTTTGCCATATTGTAGGGCTGATATCATTGAACACAAGAGAGCCATGTGAAAATATATACATTAGGTTCAGGTTAACGGTATATACTTCAGAAATATATTTATGTAAATTGCTCCACTTGGTGAAATATAAAGAGTAAGAGAATATGCATTTTCATTTGTATATTTAAAATTTATTTTCATGTTTGTTCAAGTCAAAGAACTCTTTCTCACATATATTTTTATATTTTAATTCCTGAAACATTTGCAATTTAATCAGGGAGGATATGAAATTAACCACCTGCTCTGGCACTGTGTTGCTGCTTGGTCTTGTGTTCAGAAAAACAGTCCTCAGTTGAATAACGTGCTTGAACATCTCATCTTCCATAAAACACAGCTTCAAAAGAAATGCTGGTAAGAGTGATCCTATAAATCCAAAGTAGCTCATGGAGAAATCTTTGTGCTTAAATGTTAAATAACCTTTGTACCTAAATGTTAATCACACCTCGGTTGACTATGAAACAAATTTATAATCTCGGTTCCAAAGGCAATGGCAATTTACATGTTTAGTATTAATTCATTTCATCAATACATTGTTTCTCTCTTTTTCTGTTTTGCTAGATGTGCATGCATGCACTGCATAGTTTATTTTGTTAAATGCAATTTTTTTATTGACAAGAAGTTTATTCCTGCATTGCAAATAGCCTTTATATTCCAAATGGTTAAACAAAAGCAGTGAAGTACAATATATTATTGGAGAAAATATACTGATATTGTATTTATGCCTTATTATAATGTATAACAAAATATACTGATTTTATATTTTGTAATATGTTACAATATTTTGATACTTTTATATTATATTTTTTAGATGTTTATATTTTAAAAATATATATTATAAAAATTTATATTTTATGTATTTTTTATACTTTTATATTTTGTTATACATTACAATCTTATATTGTAATGTATAAGAAAATATACTGATATTGTATTTATGCCTTATTTTAACGTATAACAGAACTGCATCTTTAAAAAAATTTTTTTGTTTTCACTCTATCACCCAGGCTGGAATGCAGTGTAGTGATCTTGGCTTACTGCAACCTCCATCCCCTGGCTCAAGTGATCCTCCCAGCTCACCCTCCCAAGTAGCTGGGACCACAGGTGTACACCAACATGCCAGCTATTTTTGTTTTGTTTTTTTTTTAGTAGAAACAAGGTCTTGCCATGTTGCCTAGGCTGGTCTCCAACTCCTGAGCCCAAGTGATCTGCCCACCTAGGCCTCCCAAAGTGCTGGGATTAAAGGTGTGAGTCACTGCACCCAGACAAAAATAAATCTTGACTTATAAATATTAGTTTTCTCCTGTACATACGTTAATTTAGGATGAGAAAATGAAGAATCATAGTTTTGACATGAGTTCAGTGGAGGAAAAACTTTTAAAGTTGACAAATAATAATTGTATATATTTATGGGGTAAAATGTGATGTTAGGATATATGTGTAACTTGTGGAATGAGTAAATCAAGCTTATTAAAATATCCATCACTTCACATCCTTATCATTTTTCGGTGGTAAGAGCAATTAAAATTTACTCTATTAGCAATTTTGAAATATACTTTTTTTCTTTACCATAGTCACAATGCTGTACAATAGATTACTAGATCTCATTCTTCCGGTCTAACTGAAACTTTGAACTCTTTGTTGACATCTCTTCTTTTTCCCTTCTTCCCCACTCTCCATCCCAAGTCTTATACCATTCTATGCTCTAGTTCTACAAGTTTGGCTTTTTTATATTCCATGTACAAGTGAGATTATACAGTATTTATCTTTCTATTCTACGCTTATTTCATTTAGCATAATGCTTCCATGCCCATTCATGTTTTTATAAATGACAGAAGTTTCTTCTTTTTAAAGACTGGATAGTATTCCATTGTGTATAGATATCATACTTTCTTTATCCACTTATCAATCAATGAGCACTTAGGTTGATTACATATCTTGACTATTATGAATAATGCTGCAATCAACATGGAAATTCAGTTATATGTTCAACACATTGATTTCACTTTTTTGGGATATATATGTAGAAGTGGAATTGTTAGATCATACGGTAGTTTTATTTTCAATTTTTGAGGAATCTCCATACTGTATTTACATCAATAATGTGAAAGGATCCCTTTTTCTCAACATCCTCATCAACATCTCTTATCTTTCATATTTTAGATAATAGACATTCTAACAGGTGTGAGTTGGTATCTTGGTTTTAATTTGCATTTTTCTTATGATTAGTGATGTTTGGCACATTTTCATCTATCTGTTGACCATTAGTATTCTTTTTCTGAGAAATGTCTGTTCAGGTCCTTTACCCATTTTTTTATTGGTATATTTGTTTTCTTGTTACTGAGTTGTCTCAGTTCCTTCTATATTTTAGATATTAGCCCTTTACCAAATGTATGGTTTGCACATATTTTTTCCAAATATGTGGGTTGTCTCTTTACTTTGTTAATGTTTCATTTTATAATTCAAGTAGTCTTTAATTCATTTTGAGTTAACTTTTCTGAATAGTGTGAGAGAAGAGGCTAATTTAATTCTTCTGCATGTGGATTTTCACTTCTTTCAATACCACTTATTGAAGAGATTATTTTATCCCTATTGTGTATTCTTGATAACTGTCAAAAATCAATTGACCATAAATGCTTAAATTCACATCCGGTCTTTCTATTCTGTGCCTTTGGCAAATGTCTCTGTATGCTATTGCCATGCTGTTTTAATTACTATAGCTTGTAATACACTTTAAAATCTAGTATTGTGATGTTTCCAGCTTTTTTCTTTTTTCTCATAATTGCTTTGGTTAAGAGACTTTTGTGGTTTGATACAAATTTTAATTTTCTTTCTGCTTCTGTGAAGAATAATATTAAAATTTTGATATGAATTGCTTTGAACCTGTAAATCACTTATTTTTCTTATCCATGAACATGGAATATCTTCCCATTTATTTGTTTAGGCTTTAATTTTTTCATTATTTTATATTTTTCAGTGTACAGATTTTTCACTTCCTTGGTTCAGTTTTTTCTTAAGTATTTTATTTTTTAATTTTTAAAAAATTTTTTATTGCATTTTAGGTTTTGGGGTACATGTGCAGATCATGCAAGATAGTTGCATAGGTACACACATGGCAGAGTGTTTTGCTGCCATCTTCCCTTTCACCCACGCTTGGAATTTCTCCCCAAGCTATCCTTCCCCCCTTTCCCCGCCACTGTCCCTCCCCTATTCCCCCCAGTAGACCCCAGTGTGTAGTACTCCCTTCCCTGTGTCCATGTGTTCTCTTTTTTCATCACTCGCCTATGAGCGAGAATATGCAGTTTTTCATTTTCTGTTCTTGTGTCAGTTTGCTGAGAATGATGTTCTCCAAATTCATCCATGTCCCTACAAAGGACACAAACTCATCCTTTTTGATTGCTGCATAATATTCCATGGTGTATATGTGCCACATTTTCCCAATCCAGTCTATCGTGGATGGGCATTTTGGTTGGTTCCAGGTCTTTGCTATTGTGAACAGTGCTGCAATGAACATTCATGTGCATGTGTCCTTATAGTAGAATTACTTATAGTTTTTTGGATATATACCCAGTAATGGGACTGCTGGATCAAATGGAATTTCTATTTCTAAGGCCTTGAGGAATCGCCACACTGTCTTCCACAATGGTTGAACTAAATTACGTTCCCACCAACAGTGTAAAAGTGTTCCTATTCCTCCACATCCTCTTCAGCATCTGTTGTCTCCAGATTTTTTAATGATCGCCATTCTAACTGGCGTGAGATGGTATCTGAATGTGGTTTTGATTTGCATCTCTCTGATGACCAGTGATGATGAGCATTTTTTCATATGATTGTTGGCCTCATATATGTCTTCTTTCGTAAAGTGTCTGTTCATATCCTTTGCCCAATTTTGAATGGGCTTGTTTGTTTTTTTCCTATAAATCTGTTTGAGTTCTTTGTAAATTCTGGATATCAGCCCTTTGTCAGATGGGTAAACTGCAAAAATGTTTTCCCATTCTGTTGGTTGCTGATTCACTCTAGTGACTGTTTCTTTTGCCGTGCAGAAGCTGTGGAGTTTGATTAGGTCCCATTTGTCTATTTTGGCTTTTGTTGCCAATGCTTTTGGTGTTTTGGTCATGAAGTTCTTGCCTACTCCTATGTCCTGGTTGGTTTTGCCTAGATTTCCTTCTAGGGTTTTTATGGTGCCAGGTCTTATGTTTAAGTGTGATGCCCCCCACTGTGTTCTTTTTGCTTAGAATTGACTTGGCTATGCAGGCTCTCTTTTGGTTCCATATGAAGTTCATGGTGGTTTTTTCCAGTTCTGTGAAGAAAGTCAATGGTAGCTTGATGGGGATAGTGTTGATTCTGTAAATTACTTTGGGCAGTATAGCCATTTTCACGATATTGATTCTTCCTAACCATGAACATGGAATGTTTCTCCATCTGTTTGTGTCCTATCTTATTTCGTTGAGCAGTGGTTTGTAGTGTTCCTTGAAGAGATCTCTACGTTCCTTGTGAGTTGTATTCCTAGGTATTTTATTGTTTTTGTAGCAATTGTGAATGGCAGTTTGTTCTTGATTTGGCTCTCTTTCAGTCTGTTATTGGTGTATAGGAATGCTTGTGATTTTTGCACATTGATTTTGTATCCTGAGACTTTGCTGAAGTTGCTTATCAGTTTCAGGACTTTTTGGGCTGAGGCGATGGGGTCTTCTAGGTATACTATCATGTCGTCTGCAAATAGAGACAATTTGGCTTCCTCCTTTCCTATTTGAATACCCTTTATTTCTTTTTCTTGCCTGATTGCTCTGGCTAGAACTTCCAGTACTATATTGAATAGGAGTGGTGAAAGAGGGCATCCTAGTCTAGTGCCAGATTTCAAAGGGAATGCTTCCAGTGTTTGCCCATTCAGTATGATCTTGGCTGTTGGTTTGTCGTAAATAGCTCTTATTACTTTGAGATACGTTCCATCAATACCAAGTTTATTGAGGGTTTTTAGCGTAAAGGGCTGTTGAATTTTGTCAAATGCCTTCTCTGCATCAATTGAGATAATCATGTGGTTTTTGTTTTTGGTTCTGTTTATGTGGTGAATTATGTTTATAGACTTGCGTATGTTGAACCAGCCTTGCATCCCTGGGATGAATCCTACTTGATCATGATGGGTACGTGTTTTGATGTGCTGTTGCAATTGGCTTGTGAGTATTTTATTGAAGATTTTTGCATCTATGTTCATCATGGATATTGGCCTGAAGTTTTATTTTCTTGTTGAGTCTCTGCCAGGTTTTGGTATCAGGATGATGTTGGTCTCATACAATGATTTGGGAAGGATTCCCTCTTTTTGGATTATTTGGAATAGTTTTAGAAGGAATGGTACCAGC